AAGCACTTACACTGAGTAATTAATATTCTTGTTAAATGTTGTACTTTTTTTAGAAGAAAAATCTTTCTGATGTATTTCTTGTTGCTGCTCTCCCAGAAGATGGTTATCAGTCATTCCTTGAGATGTGCCGAAAATATGAAAAAGGTCTTCTGAAAGACCAGCGAGCAATGGCAAAGGACCTACAAGAAAAGCCGAGGTTCAAGCCATCATACATCAAATGCTTATTTGGCCTCGACGTTTCAGATCGTGTTGCTCTGTTGGGTCAGGTAAAGATATTTCTTCCATTTTTAGGCGTAAGATGCCCCTTAGCTTATTTTTTTGCCTCTGTGGATCTGTTAAAAATTTTATTTACTAATTAACCACTTAGTTTATTAAAATATAATTGTGCCCTTTAAATTAAATCCAATCATCATTCTAAATCTGTTGTTTTTTTAGGTTGCTGACCAAAGTAACAGTCTGGATGAACTGAAATTATTGTGCAAGGAGTGCAAAGTACTGAAGCCTGTCAAAAAGTGATTTCTTCATTTCTTGGATGTAAATGGGAATTGCTTAGTGCAAAATTGGGAGAGAAAGTCAGCGTTGACCAGTTAAGGAAATTTACAGTAAGTATACAGTATGTATATGTATTTATCAGGCAGTTTGATATTTTGATCCAGGTTTGTAGAATGGAAAATATCCGCTCTTCTCTCTATGCTGAGGTTGAGTATTTGAACTGACTTCTAAATTAATAATTCAAACTACTAGAAACATTTCAAACTACTAGTAGCTTGAAAATAAACATTAAATCAGCCCTGCTACATGTTCCTTGGGAGATTTCAATTTTCAATTCTGCTACCTATTTGATGACCATTTTAGTCTGCAAACATTTTCCTGTGTTTCGCACATTCAGTAGAGCTGTGTTTCTATTTACTAGGGAAAAGATGAAACCAACCTTATTTTCAGACAATACTTGGAATATCTGCAAAAGAGTCTGACCATCGAGGAATCAGACCAGCCACTAGTTGTATCACCCAATGTATTTCTGATGGACCAGGGAACAAGGGGCGTTGTCACATGTGTGTTGACCCACTGGGACTGCAGCAAGGGTCATACGGGCAAGAAAAAGGATTTTCATTAGCCTTATGTAAGCTTTCACCACATCAGGTACAGTATAGTGATGTAACATTGACCTAATGTACCAATAGTACTGTATATGTACAACTGTGATAATTGTGAAAAAGGTGTATACTGAACATTACTTTCTTTTTCACAATGATTTTTTTAGGAAAATGATGTGACAACATTTGCTGCAGGTTTGCTGGACCTAGTGGACCGTTTAAATTTTGGTGTGTGCCACATTTTCAACGTAGCAATAATGGGGGATATCCATCAATTAATGGAAATAAAAAAATGGATCGAGGAACACCGTGGAATCTGCAACTTGGTTTGCATGTGTTAAAGGAGTTAAACCATCAGGTATATATTAGCATATTAACGGGCAATGTAAATAGTAAGATTTTAATGTTCACGTTTACGGCAAAGGGATAACCGTGTCTGTCGTAGAGAATTTATGCCTCAATTTTAATTAGCAAATTGCCTGAAGCTCTATCATCTAATAATTGGCCCCAAAATACTATCTTCAATAGTTTGTCGATTGCAGCTAGCCGCATGTCTGGTGTAATTGTCAATCGTAAGGTCCTTAATCACTTTGTTTAATCCACCTTTTGGGTTTCTGCTCACCATAGATTATTTTGTTAAAACAGCATCCTGGTATTTTCTAAGGTTCTCGCGATGCAATGTTTTTAGATTTTATTTTTGTAACAAAATTTAGTTAAACTTGTCTGCGTTTGTTATTTCTGCCATTCAACTGTAAAATTAGAAGTTCAAATTCACGTACACTCGAAAATACGTCAAATTTACACGCATAAAAGCATACCTACTGTAAACTGTAACCGTATTTTGCAATGCATACAACAAAATTAACTTACGCATTGTTCCTGCATTTTACAGGTCCTAGCGTTGGTATGGTACGGGCTGTAGAGGGGTTTCTCCTCTACCATGCGGCGCCTGGGCAACGGCTGCTGCAAGATCATTTTAATTTCACTGCCTGCACTGAGAATTTTATTATTGTAAGTCAAGAGCACAAGGAGTTGCAGGTGTGGCATTCTGTAGTTGAAATGTTCAGTAGACCAGGCGATTGGATTCTTGACGTAAATACGCCACAAGGTATGCAATATACCAGTACTGATGAAATACTAATAATTTTATTATGCACTGTTCACATTGTTGCTGCCGACTAGTTACAATGAATTATCTGGAAACAACTGGTGTAATCGTGTTGTTAATCGTTGATACAAAAAAATAATTTAACTTAACCGCTTTTACTGTGAAGTTTCATTTACACTGTTCTGATGGGTGGCGGATTCAAAGGACATAGTCAATCATCTAGTCAGTGGTGAAGGTCATTTCTGTTCGTAGTGGTTTATTCAACTATCTCAGCGCTTTGAACTTTATTTAGACAATTTCTTTTGTCTTATTTAAATGTTAATTAGGCTTTTCGTCAAGTTGACCAAAAATTTGGAGAAACTTTCTTGTTAATGCAAAATTGAAACCTTTCAATATGGGAGCTAAAATGATAAGGTTGATTAGCTGTGTCCCATTATGCAACTTTACACTATCATTGGATCACTAGCTTTCTTCCTTCAGTTTATTCACCTATTCGCGCAGCATATTTTAAAAAAGTTTCCCATAAAAAACATAATTAAATATTATGCAGTATAACATTCCAACTAAATTGATCTATTTTTATGACTGTTTCAGTTGCTGGAGCTGCTGCAGCCATGAAGGAAGGCAGGAATGTTTTATGCTTAACACCAAATGAAGAAGAAGCAAGGAACGTATTGCGCAAAATTTTGTGACTTGAAAAACTAATTATATAATTCTATATACATGATTCTTTGCATTTGACTTTAGTATTTTGGTTGTGATGTGAAGGTCTGCAGGTAAACTAAATTTTGGCAGACTCAAGTCGCTTTATGTTCTGGAATTCAGCTGCCCAATTTTTCACTGGTTGGTTTCGCTGCATGCATTGTCGGATGATAAATAAGATTTTGACAGAATCAAGCCGTTTTTGGTGTCTGCTGTTGAAAACCCATAAAACGTTGATCGCGGACTAAAATTTGGCTCTAAAATCTCATCTCTGCTTAGATGTGTTTCATTTTTCAGAAACGCCAATTTGATTTCATAATGGACTGTTATAGTTTATAAAACTCCATATTGAGCAGTCTGACTGAAATATAAAGTTTTATAGTTATATAATACAATGTTTAGCAGATTTCTATCTTGAGGTTGCAAAGTATAAATGATAGAATTCTTACAGTCTATGATAATGCTCGTGCTAGCTTTTCTAAAAAAAGGAATGGCGCCTCGGCCCTCAGAAACCACCTATTTTACGACGGGGCGATAATAATTCGAGTTTGAGACTATAAGTGCATGACTGGCATGCCTTTAATTGATCAGGGCATATATAAGATAGGGCCATAGATTAAAAAATGAATTATAGGGCGGTGAAACGGCGATTTGGGCCCTGATCTACGTATGATGCGTGGGACCCCCTGAACTGATCTCGCTAATCTCGCTGACCTCATGTTGTCTGAACAGTCTTATATTATGACAAGGTAGGTCATCGCGCGAGGTCAGCGAGATCAGTTCTGGGCCGCCTATGGATAAACAAATATCCATTTCTACATTTAAGCCTTAAAATAACAAATAGCTTTCGGTTAGTTGGAATTTTACATGCGTAAATTCTACGTCGTGAAAGATTAGTGATTAAGTTTTAGGAAAATGATTCAGTGTAAACACAAAGTCAGCTTTTTTAAAATTAATTTAAAACCTTGGTCCAAGGGTTGGAAACTTAGTCCTAGCATTTGTCTGTAAAATTTTTACACAGAAATATTGCTAGTGTGTTATAAACTGGGCACTACACAATGAATGAGCGCGTTATGGATGATAGTTTCACCTATTAGATGCTTCAAATAATGATGCCAGCTATCCGTACTTATATTAATACTGTATTTTGATTGATTCTATGTAAAAATTATTATTTTATTATATTTTATAGTTGATTTTCGTTCGAGGGGCAGATGGCAAAAGAGAACACTGTTTCTTCTCCACAGGGAAATATGACTGGTCAGCAAGCAATGGGCTTTTCCGTGAAATTGTTGCGACTGAAAATGAGCAACAATGGGCTGCAAAATGCAATGAAGCCATTGAAAAGTTAGAAAAGCAAGATTGCGCTAATGATGGTCAAGATCAACAAAATCAAGGTGGATCCAAGGATTCCGAGCCTGTTTTAATCACTAATGAAGATGAAGCTATAAATTTAAAAAGGGATCTTCATCTCTTGTGGAACAGCTGATTACTCCCTAACCAAGAAAAAGTGTCAAGATGAAGAGGAAAGAATTACAATACCAAACAAGAGCAAAAGAATGCGAAGTTGGTATGTAGAAATTAAATATATACATATGATATTTTTTGTTGTAGCACTAAACCACAATGAATGTTAATTAATTTTTTACAGAAATTATCAAGTTTAAATTAAGGCTTAAATTATCAAGTCATTTTCTTAATTAAAATCCCTGCTACACAATTACTTCTTTCAATATGACCAGCTTTTTTTGCCCAATGGTTTCCTTTTTACCATTCTAGCTTACTCAAGTTGTATAAGTGCACCTTCATTTGGCAGTAATATCATGCATGTCTTTTCATAACTTTGAATAGATGAGCAATTCTATGTTCCGGTTGGCAATATTGAACTACCTCCAGCAGACAGAATGATCAGAAAGTGGATGAAATATTTTTGGCCCAATTAAAGCAAATATGGAAAGTAACCCCAATGGCTCATATAAACCTCTTTACTTGTTGGTAAAAGGTCTGAACAGAAAGGAGAACTTTTCAAAATCAGATGTCAGCAGCTATCAGTATGAGGTACTTGGTGGTACGCATAACTTGTTGCAACAAAGCAACTTTTAGAGAAGCACCCTGATAGTGAAGAGTATAAGGGAAGATATGCAAGAATATTTGTTGGGTTAACAAATTTTGAAGCTTTATGGCTGGCGTCAAGGCATAATAAGACTGGGTGTTTCCGTCATGAAATGACATTCAAAGATGAGGCAAGTTCTGTAGAAAGGCAATTCTAATATTGTTAAATATTAAGAGGGAGTGGTTGTTTGTTATAGTTTAACAGTCAGTCAACAAGTTACTTAAGGAACCCATTAGTGTCACAGTAGTAATGAGTACCCAACTTCTTAACTTATTCAACTTTGCTTTGTCAAATACCAGAAATTTTTCTCAAGTACATACCAAAATTGTCAATGGTAAATTATTGGTTATAGTGGTCTGAGTTACTTACGATAATAATTAGCAGTAATCTGCCACAGGCAATTGCAGTAGAAACTACCAAATTATTAATTGCAGCAGCAATCATTTGGGTGATTTACCAGTCAGTGGGTTAAAAAAGCTGTGATCACAAACATTTTTTTATTCTGCTGTAGGTGGAAGTTGCTCACAGGCAGTTGGAGATCATTGGTACAAAAAATGAGAACAATGATTTAGTTCCTAGTCAGCAATGGAGAGACAGATGTTCCCACATATTAGGAAAGACAGTGAGTAAACTTTTAGTTTATTTAATTTGTAATATATTGTGAACACCAGGTGATTTTGCTTGCCAGTGAAAGTCTTGCCACCAGTGAATGGGTTATCAAAAGAAAGCAGATGTAATTATAGTCTGTACTAAACCTAAAGCTGTTTAATGAAATAATTTTAAATTAACTTGCTGATCAATAAAGCACTTACACTGAGTAATTATTATTCTTGTTAAATGTTGTACTTTTTTTAGAAGAAAAATCTTTCTGATGTATTTCTTGTTGCTGCTCTCCCAGAAGATGGTTATCAGTCATTCCTTGAGATGTGCCGAAAATATGAAAAAGGTCTTCTAAAAGACCAGCGAGCAATGGCAAAGGACCTACAAGAAAAGCCGAGGTTCAAGCCATCATACATCAAATGCTTATTTGGCCTCGACGTTTCAGATCGTGTTACTTTGTTGGGTCAGGTAAAGATATTTCTTCCATTTTTAGGCGTAAGATGCCCCTTAGCTTATTTTTTTGCCTCTGTGGATCTGTTAAAAATTTTATTTACTAATTAACCACTTAGTTTATTAAAATATAATTGTGCCCTTTAAATTAAATCCAATCATCATTCTAAATCTGTTGTTTTTTTTTAGGTTGCTGACCAAAGTAACAGTCTGGATGAACTGAAATTATTGTGCAAGGAGTGCAAAGTACTGAAGCCTGTTCAAAAGTGATTTCTTCATTTCTTGGATGTAAATGGGAATTGCTTAGTGCAAAATTGGGAGAGAAAGTCAGCGTTGACCAGTTAAGGAAATTTACAGTAAGTATACAGTATGTATATGTATTGTATCAGGCAGTTTGATATTTTGATCCAGGTTTGTAGAATGGAAAATATCCGCTCTTCTCTCTATGCTGAGGTTGAGTATTTGAACTGACTTCTAAATTAATAATTCAAACTACTAGAAACATTTCAAACTACTAGTAGCTTGAAAATAAACATTAAATCAGCCCTGCTACATGTTCCTTGGGAGATTTCAATTTTCAATTCTGCTACCTATTTGATGACCATTTTAGTCTGCAAACATTTTCCTGTGTTTCGCACATTCAGTAGAGCTGTGTTTCTATTTACTAGGGAAAAGATGAAACCAACCTTATTTTTAGACAATACTTGGAATATCTGCAAAAGAGTCTGACCATCGAGGAATCAGACCAGCCACTAGTTGTATCACCCAATGTATTTCTGATGGACCAGGGAACAAGGGGCGTTGTTCACATGTGTGTTGACCCACTGGGACTGCAGCAAGGGTCATACGGGCAAGAAAAAGGATTTTCATTAGCCTTATGTAAGCTTTCACCACATCAGGTACAGTATAGTGATGTAACATTGACCTAATGTACCAATAGTACTGTATATGTACAACTGTGATAATTGTGAAAAAGGTGTATACTGAACATTACTTTCTTTTTCACAATGATTTTTTAGGAAAATGATGTGACAACATTTGCTGCAGGTTTGCTGGATCTAGTGGACCGTTTAAATTTTGGTGTGTGCCACATTTTCAACGTAGCAATAATGGGGGATATCCATCAATTAATGGAAATAAAAAAATGGATCGAGGAACACCGTGGAATCTGCCAACTTGGTTTTGCATGTGTTAAAGGAGTTAAACCATCAGGTATATATTAGCATATTAACGGGCAATGTAAATAGTAAGATTTTAATGTTCACGTTTACGGCAAAGGGATAACCGTGTCTGTCGTAGAGAATTTATGCCTCAATTTTAATTAGCAAATTGCCTGAAGCTCTATCATCTAATAATTGGCCCCAAAATACTATCTTCAATAGTTTGTCGATTGCAGCTAGCCGCATGTCTGGTGTAATTGTCAATCGTAAGGTCCTTAATCACTTTGTTTAATCCACCTTTTGGGTTTCTGCTCACCATAGATTATTTTGTTAAAACAGCATCCTGGTATTTTCTAAAGGTTCTCGCGATGCAATGTTTTTAGATTTTATTTTTGTAACAAAATTTAGTTAAACTTGTCTGCGTTTGTTATTTCTGCCATTCAACTGTAAAATTAGAAGTTCAAATTCACGTACACTCGAAAATACGTCAAATTTACACGCATAAAAGCATACCTACTGTAAACTGTAACCGTATTTTGCAATGCATACAACAAAATTAACTTACGCATTGTTCCTGCATTTTACAGGTCCTAGCGTTGGTATGGTACGGGCTGTAGAGGGGTTTCTCCTCTACCATGCGGCGCCTGGGCAACGGCTGCTGCAAGATCATTTTAATTTCACTGCCTGCACTGAGAATTTTATTATTGTAAGTCAAGAGCACAAGGAGTTGCAGGTGTGGCATTCTGTAGTTGAAATGTTCAGTAGACCAGGCGATTGGATTCTTGACGTAAATACGCCACAAGGTATGCAATTATACCAGTACTGATGAAATACTAATAATTTTATTATGCACTGTTCACATTGTTGCTGCCGACTAGTTACAATGAATTATCTGGAAACAACTGGTGTAATCGTGTTGTTAATCGTTGATACAAAAAAATAATTTAACTTAACCGCTTTTACTGTGAAGTTTCATTATACACTGTTCTGATGGGTGGCGGATTCAAAGGACATAGTCAATCATCTAGTCAGTGGTGAAGGTCATTTCTGTTCGTAGTGGTTTATTCAACTATCTCAGCGCTTTGAACTTTATTTAGACAATTTCTTTTGTCTTATTTAAATGTTAATTAGGCTTTTCGTCAAGTTGACCAAAATTTGGAGAAACTTTCTTGTTAATGCAAAATTGAAACCTTTCAATATGGGAGCTAAAATGATAAGGTTGATTAGCTGTGTCCCATTATGCAACTTTACACTATCATTGGATCACTAGCTTTCTTCCTTCAGTTTATTCACCTATTCGCGCAGCATATTTTAAAAAAGTTTCCCATAAAAAACATAATTAAATATTATGCAGTATAACATTCCAACTAAATTGATCTATTTTTATGACTGTTTCAGTTGCTGGAGCTGCTGCAGCCATGAAGGAAGGCAGGAATGTTTTATGCTTAACACCAAATGAAGAAGAAGCAAGGAACGTATTGCGCAAAATTTTGTGACTTGAAAAACTAATTATATAATTCTATATACATGATTCTTTGCATTTGACTTTAGTATTTTGGTTGTGATGTGAAGGTCTGCAGGTAAACTAAATTTTGGCAGACTCAAGTCGCTTTATGTTCTGGAATTCAGCTGCCCAATTTTTCACTGGTTGGTTTCGCTGCATGCATTGTCGGATGATAAATAAGATTTTGACAGAATCAAGCCGTTTTTGGTGTCTGCTGTTGAAAACCCATAAAACGTTGATCGCGGACTAAAATTTGGCTCTAAAATCTCATCTCTGCTTAGATGTGTTTCATTTTTGAATTATGCACATATGATTTAAAGTGCCTATATCACTCGTGGGATCTTTATGCATTTGAAAAGAACGTAAAAAGTTAGTTAATATATTAAAAAACATTTTTTGATTTAGTGCAATAATTTCGAAGATACAAGCCTCTAAACTACCTGCGGTTCCTGAGTCCCAACCTCCTGGGTTTAAACACGGCTATTCAATTTGAAACTGCCCATTGTTTACAGGAGCCTGGGACTCAGGAATTGCAGGTAATTTAAAGGCTAGTATCTTCAAAATTATTGCGCTAAATCAAAAACTTTCTTTAATATATTAACTAACTTTTTACATTCTTTTCAAATGCATAAAGATTCCACGAGTGATATAGGCACTTTAAAGAAACAGTCAAACCAATATTTTTCTGAAATTGGGCTACACTCTGAAAAAGTGCTTTTTATTTCTGTACACGATCGGTGACAGTACAAACTGAAATTCAGCCTTTAATCTCGATTCATTTAATTGTTTATATCAGATTTGTGACAAACTCACGCCGTTTATGGCGTCTGAAATTTAGCTTCTCAGTTTATCGCTTGTCGGTTAACATAAGATTTTGAATTTTTGGCAGGCTGAAACCATTTTAGGTGTCTGAAATTCAGATAGCTTATTCATCTCAGGTCGGTTAAAATATACGATTTTGGCAGACTCAAACCGTTTAGGTGTCTGAAATTCAGATACCTTAATTTATCTGAGGTTGGTTAATATATAAGATTTTGGCAGACTCAAACCGTTTTAGGTGTCTGAAATTCAGATACCTTGTTTATCTCAGGTCGGTTAAAATATGCGATTTTAGCAGACTCAAACCGTTTTAGGTGTCTGAAATTCAGCTTCCAAATTTATCGCTTGTCGGTTAACATTAAAATATTTTGAATTTTGGCAGACTCAAACCGTTTTAGGTGTCTGAATATCAGATACCTTGTTTATCTCAGGTCGGTTAAAATATGCCATTTTAGCAGACTCAAACCGTTTTAGGTGTCTGAAATTCAGCTTCCAAATTTATCGCTTGTCGGTTAAAATTAAAATATTTTGAATTTTGGCAGACTCAAACAATTTTAGCTGTCTGAAATTCAGACACCCTATTTATCTCAGGTTGGTTAATATACACAATCTTGGCAGATTAGAGCCGTTTTAGATGTCTGAAATTCAGCTTCCCCATTTATCATTTGTCGGTAATATATAAGATTTTGGCAAACTCAGATTTGTTTTAGGTGTCTGAAATTCAGATACCTTATTTATCTCAGGTCGCAGTTGATAGAATGATGTCTCGTTTAGTTCAATACGTTGTTTTTGGCAGAGTCCCTAAAAACTGTCTGCAAGAAACGCCAATTTGATTTCATAAATGAAAATCTTTGAATTTTTTGGTTTTTTTCATCAATTTTGCGGAAAAAAAAATAGTTTGGAATTATTGAAAATAGTTTGGAACGCGTTTAGGTTTATGATAAAACATAATGCACTTGATGGTCTTCTTTCTGTGTTGAAAGAGAATGGGCATCCAAACTTGCCTCTTACTGCTCGTGCCTTGCTGCACACATCCAGAAATATAACCATTCAGGAAAAGTCTGGATTGGAATATGTTTATTTTCCTCTTGCTAATCAATTGTTGAAACACTTTAAAAAATATCCTTCAGATGTAATTGCTAGGACTAATTCTCTTGAAATTTCTTTGAATGTTGATGGTCTTCCATTACTTAAGAGTTCAAGGAAGTGTTTATGGCCAGTATTATGTGCCATTGTAAATATCACACCTGTAGTTGTTTTCCCAGTGGTTTTAACCTGTGGTAATTCCAAACCAGATGATTTGCATTTTTTGGAAGACCTAATTAGAGATTTGAATAATCTTCTACAGAATGGGCTCCAAGACGGTGAAACTGTTCTTTCAGTTTGTTTAAGATGTGTAGTTTGTGATGCTCCCGCTAGAGCCCTTGCACAAAGTTGTGTTCTGGCTATTTTGGGTGTGATAAATGTGCACAGAAGGGCATATGGGTTGGTCGTGTTGTGTACTCTCTGATTGGAAATGTTGAGTTGCGGACAGATCTTTCTTTTAGAGAACAAGTGCATGAAGGGCATCATAATGGTGTTATTCCCTTCAGTAAATTGCCAGTTGATATGATTAAGAAATTTCCGATGGACTACATGCATCAATTGTGTCTGGGCGTCATGAAGAAATTGCTTCTGCTATGGTTACGAGGAAAGCGAGAAGTTAAGATATCGGCTGGCCAGGCGGAGTCTATCAGTACTAAATTGATAGAGGTCAAGTCTTCCATACCAAGCACATTTGTACGTAAGCCACAGAGCTTAGCAGAAATTGATCGGTGGAAGGCCACTGAGTTTCGGCAATTTCTTTTGTATACTGGAAAAATTGTTCTATCCGGTATCCTAAGACCAGATTTATATGAGCACTTCTTATCTCTTAGCGTTGCTAGCTGCATTTTGGTGTGCCCTATGTTAGCTAAGTCTTACAGGGAATATGCAAAGCAACTCATAGAATACTTTGTTGAGCAAGGCAAATGTTTGTATGGTGATGAGTTTTGGGTATATAATGTGCATAGTATGGTTCATTTGGCAGATGTGGTTGAAGAGTTTGAAAGTTTAGACGCGTGTAGTTCTTTCCCATTTGAAAACTACATGCAAAAGTTGAAACGTCTTGTGCGATCAGGGAAGAGTCCAATTGCACAGATTGCAAAACGCATGAGTGAACACTCTGGTTCCATTGAACTTGTAGATGAGGATGCAGTCATTGTAAAAAACCCAGATAATGTTTTTATTTTGTCTGAATCATCATGTTGTGAAGTAGTAGATAAGACTGGCAATCATGATCACAATGGGGATGAATTATTTCAATGCCGAGTTTATAGCAAAACTGAATCCATCTTCATGACTCCATGTGATTCCCGCCTCATTGGTGCTTACAAGGCTAACCAACGCTTGACAAATATGAGACTACTGCCTTCCACAGATCTCAAGAGAAAAGCCATAAAGATTAATCTTGGCCCTGACAAAATTATATTCATTGCTATATTGCACACAAAATACTAACAGCACTCTGCACTGAAGGTACTTGTTTTAATTATAATTCTGCACCTCTAAAATCCAAAAAAATTATGCAATTTGTTTAATTATTGCTTCTGTTATAGATGGCAAACAACATATATGCTGTCGTTGAATTTATAGAGGAACAATTAGTGGAAATTGTTGCAACATGTTGGATTGAGACAATTGATTGTGTAAGTAGTTAGAATTTGTTGAATTTTGTTCACTTGCAGAATAGTTCTTTGTGCACCCAACATAAAATATTTGGGTGTTACCCAGTTTCCTTTTTCTAAATTGTGATAATTGCTGGCTAGATTTGGTTGTGAAAACAGGGTACATGTATCATGCCAAATTTTTGACTTGCTAACACCCTGAATAGACCATTCCATGATGATCTTATGTTGCTAAATACTCTAGTTTAACAGCATTTTTGTTTACAAAACTTGTCATTCTAGGAATTATACTGCTACTGGCCACGAAATAATGCATCTCATAAATTAAGGAAGCTCGAGATTCCAGACAAAGAAACTTGGATTGCTTATAAAGTCAGAGTTTTCTCATATACAGGTTTGTTTTTAATAGCTTTGAAAATTGTGTTGGGAGCTCTTTGAAGGTTCCAACCATTACAGTAATTGCATTTTTTAACACTTTATCTGGACACCTGCCCTAAATTGCCAGTTAGAGTTTTATATGCCATGTTTTATTATTATTAGATTCAGTAGCAAAAGCACAAAAGATTTTGAAAAGGGCTGAAGAAACATCAAATGTTGAATCCGATTCAGATTCTGGCCATGCAAAAAAAAAGAAGGCGCACAAAAGCCAGTTTATTTCAATATTCAGAAGGCAGTGATAGTAAGTTCTTTGGTATTGCTCAACAGGCTACTGTAGTTGAAACGTTGAGGGCATTAGGTTTGTATTTCTTGCATAGTAAAGATGGGATTTTTGCCCTGAGAAAAAGTGTTCTCAATCATGACCAGGTGTGGTGTATAGCACTTATATTGTTCTGCAACTGAGGTTATAGTTGTTTCTCTCATTTACATTTTAGCGGATGAAGATATCTCAAAAAATGGGAAAAAGAAGTCAGCCCCTACATCATCTTCCCCAGTTATTACACCATTGCTCCCTGGTGCACCGAGCTTTTCATCAAATCCATCGAATGAAATGAGTCTGCCCATGGCTCAGAGAAAGGGTTTGTCAACCTTCGATGTGAGCAATAGTGTTATGTGTAATTAAATATGACCAGTGCAAATCACATATTCTTTTGAATAATTCGCAAAATCGTCTTTCTGATGCCTGATATTTTGAAAGTAGTTAAATAGGGTCATACTTTTTAGTTAAAACGTTTTTATTGCTGTTGTATTAATTTATACTTTGTTGATATTCAGAAATTTTTAGTGCCCTGAGCAATCCTCTCACTGATGCATCTAGGACCAGTTTAAGTTCTGGTGTACAGAATGTCTATGGAAGTAAGAATGTTCCATTTGATTTTCTAGCTTTTACTGTACAGTGTATGTACGTGTATTGAGTCATTAATTCATATGCGAATTGTGAAATATATTTGCTTTTGCTAGACCAGCCTGAGGCTATTTTTTATCAAATAGCTGCTGAAACTCCTGAAGGCAACAGGAATTCATGTGAAAGAAGCCAGCATTACAGTATGTGTACTTGATTTCATTATGCTTTACCAAAGAGAAATATTTTATGTAGTGGTAGTCTTTCTCAAACAGTTACTAAAGAAGAAATGACTATTTCAAATCGGGACATAGCTGGAAGGAATAAAAATTGTGCTCAACTTAATGTTGCATATTTTATGCCTACTGAACACTTTCTTGCTGCAATAACGGGTCATGTTGTGAAGCCATGATAAAATTTTAAATGTATTTATTATTAAATAATAAAGGAAGTTAATGTTATACGGGTCTTCGTATCGTAGTGTCGCGGGTCCTAGGACGCTTGTCCGGTCGGCTACTTGCCCCCTCCGGTGAGTACAAATATGAGCCCAGTTTGCCTGATCGAGTTGTTAGTTGCTTGCGTGACCCATCCCGCCCCTTTCCCTAACGACTTCACGCGATGTTGTGAACTCTACGTCTTATTAATCTCGCTGGGGTTTGTTTTTTTTTTTGTTAGTTTGTTTTGCAGGATTAAGCACAGTTCTTTTCACACCCGTTTTGGTCGTGGAATGGGTGTTTGGGGTGAAGGTAAATTCATTAATGATCGCCACATTTACAGGTATTTTTTTTTTGTGTGTGTGTGTGTGTACTTTGATGTTCGTATCGTTTATTCCACGGTTTCACTTCAGTGACTCACGTGTGACAGTTGATCACGGGATGGAGGAGGTACCGTTAAAATAGCATGGTTCGTTGAGTTATTATCTGCGCCGAAAACAGCAAACTCAAAAGAAACACCGTTTCACCCCTAGCATATATATAACACGAGACAAAGCTGAGTGTTTTATATGTCATAAAACATGGTCAGTGTGCATATGGGTACTATATATTCTAGAACATTGCGCTATATTGTTCAGAGTCATATTTATAACTTTTTGCATTTTCAGTAATTTTCTTTCTCAATTGTCAGCTTCTGGTGCAACTACAGACTCTTTTGAAACACCAAAATCAGGCAATCGCAACTCTCTACATCAGGATCACGACAGTAAGTTGGCGTGGTTTCTTTAGAGTCCATGAGATCTTGTCTGATTTTTTGTTTTGAGGATATGTTGTTTCAATTATATGCACGTAATGTAATAATTTAATATTATGTGCATGTATGTTTTCTGGTGTGGCCAGTCATTTCCCAATATCAAGAAAGCTGGTCATCCATTCCTAACAAAGTTACATAATTAATAGTATAAATACATTTAAAATGTCATTAGGCTTTCAAAGATCTGTTCTGACGAAGCTTGATATAGCGCTTGAAAAACAAGAAGCATTATCAATTTTGCGGGTAGTACTTGGTGCCACAAGAGGTGTTAGTGGAAATGAAATGCTTGAGGATATTATTCCCAATCCTCTGGACTCAGTTGAGGAATTGGAAAACCTTAATGATCGACTTGCAGATGAAGATGCTAGGAAAAAAATGGTAATGAGCATACTGCAGACACCCTGGTTTGCCATTTGTTCTGCCACGTACTGTTTTTGTTCACGATAAATTAATTAATATAAATATTTTACTTTTAGTTACAATTCTTCCTTGCTCTGTGTAGGCATAACCATGGTGTTAGCACAAGAAGAATCCTGGCTAAGCTTGGAACAAACAAGCTGTGGTCATTATATAGTCTGAAGGGGAGAAAAGCAAAGCGGGCATTTAAAGAACTTGCTGTTTCGAAAATTGTTATCAGTAAGTATAGCATAGTATATTTGTACATTATTGTTTGGCGCATGATATTTGTGCCAGGCTTTACCAGGAAATAATGAATTATAATATATTCTTTTTGGTGATGAATGTACCCATGTACTGTACAGGTGCTTTAGTGCTAATCCACCTTTCGAACAACTGGCTCATTGCTATTAACCCTTTCTGATAATTAGCTATAATTGTTTTTTTTTGTTCAATTATAGAGGCCTGTCTACGTGTTCACAAAGGTGTAAGTGAAATAGACATCGAGGAACAAATTGCAGAGTATTTGAAGCATGCTCCACAGAAATCCGGTGGCTCTAGATACAAGGTAACTATAACTCACCTCTAATTGCTAGAGTACGAGGCAACAAACTGCAAGTTTAAGTGATTATAGAACAATAGTTAATCGTATCATGAATTACCTTCTATTTAACAGTCGTAAAGTACCTAAACTATATTAATCAAAATTATCTTTTCCGATTCATACTAAAATTTTGTTTTCACTCTTTACAATACCCCTGCCCATAAACACTACATACATCAAACGCATGATGTACGCAAAAAACAGCGTAAAGTCATAAAAAGTAAACCATATAAATTGTTAAAGTAATTAATTTCTATGTAAATATTTTTTACAATAAATGTATTTTTAAACTAACATTATTTGTATTTATTCACCACTTTTGTATAAAGTCACATACAAGCATGTCATTCCATTCTCTGCTATCTGTAAACATGTTTGCAATGGTTGACATTGGAATATGCCTACAGCGATGCAAAGCAAAGAATAACGTATACTGTCCACACACGTCCAAGTTGGGTGCTTGCAAAACCCTTGTGTTCCAACTAAATGTACTGCAATGTTTCTCCAAAAACCGAGTAAAGTGTTGACTGTAGAATCCTGGCGCTTTCGCGTACGAGTCCCAAAACTCTCCTCGCCCATCTTCTGTGACAAACAAGCCACACCAATGACTTCCGGGTTTGTTACTCTGATCAGTATTGACCACGAAACCTTCTGGCCTTCTTATTAAACCAGGTAAACGATCGTATGGTAAAACGTCTGTAAAGACGGTCTTTGTAAACAAGTCACTTTTTAATATATTCAAAATCTGTAAGGTATTCATGTTCAGTTAGTGAAGTCACACAGCACGTTCCTGTTCGCGTCAATTTCGATAAGACTTTGAAATTCACCAAGCACCACAATATTTATAGCCGCCTCCAAAGCCGTTCCAAACTGACATTCGATCAAGACATTTCCGTTTCTAATTGGTTGTGCATGATCACGAAGGCACAGGTCTGGAGTGAGATCGAACACAAACAGTGTAAAACCGTCTGCATATTCTTCACGAGTTATACTATTGCCCTGATTCTCAAACATTTTATGTGTCCCAGCATACAGTGTTTGGAATGCCGAAATGTAGTTACTTCCTCTTGCACTTGCAAATTTTAGTTGAAATGGTTTTCCAGGTAGGTTTTCACCGTTTACATTCAGCCCAAAATTTGTGATGTCGTAGTTCTTGAAGTTGAACGGATTCTTTGAATAACTACCATTGAACGCATCTGCATCGACCATACCAATAACGACACAATTTGGTAGAATATCTTGAAATATGTTGGGTTGATTTCCCGACATGTTTCCTCGGGGTGCAGTGACAACTTTACATTCGACGCGATTGATTGGATATTTGGCCGTCGTATGCTGTAGGGCTTGGGAATGGTTTATTATTACACTTGGCGATATGTTGACGCGTCGCACGCGAAATACACATTCTTCAATAACTACTTTCAAACTTGGGTCCTCAGCAGATGAGATTGAACAAAATGGGTTTCGTGATCTAACCAGTTTAATCTTTATTGGAACAGCCCCGAGAATATAGCGCTCTTGTGCGAATAGATCCGAATGTAGTCTCCCTTCCATAGCAACAGATCTACTCCCACGAGTATGTGTATGACATTCTTTTAGACCTGTATTCACATCTGCTTGACGAGCTAGCGGGTTGACATTGTCCATTTTTCCCGTGCTATCTTTGTGAAATAAAGCAGAAGTGAGATGAGAATCCTTGGCAACCTTGCTAAAGTTCAGGATAGTTTCCATATAAGCTTGGTAAGGACAGGCCGTACTGGACGGGGTTACCAATTTGTTGTTTAGGAACACTTCTACTTGTGAGAACAGTGCATGCATCCAGAGGTTCACAGGACCGACCTGGACATCTTGAGCAACATTTGTACCGTCTGGCATTGTAATCTTTGCTTTAACGTGCAGGTAATTGTTTGCTAAATCGATATAAACTCTGGAGTTTGCTGCGCAAAGGAATTCAATTGTGTCAGAGGCTGTTATGCTTGTGACAGGATCAATATCCTCCCAAAATCCTTTTTCCATTTCTACTTGCGTCGGTGGTACAGAAAATAATTCAAGTTCAGATTTGGAACACATACACGAATCTTTATGAATTGTTTCAACGACTTGAGCCATGCCACTTTGGTTTATAGTTATCAAGAGATGTTTTCTGGTTTTTGGCTCGAGAAGAAATGATAGGTTTATCTTGTGCTGATCTTTTTAAACCTTTTTTCTGTCCACTACCAGTCATCAATTCCTTGACAGCTTTATCAGTGACATCAGTGACAGCTTGTTTCCCACGAGCTTTTATTGACTTCGAAATATTCTTTCCTTGAAGTACATCCTGACCTACTTCTGTCGCTGCTTGTATTGCCCTTTTACCCACCGCTTTAGCTCCTTGCTTGAAAAGTGGAATAGCAAACCTCGCAATGCTCTTAAAAATTCCACCAATACCATAACCTCTCTGCATGCGTGCACCACCAAATCCCGCAATATTACCACCTCGTTAATTATTTAAATAATGTTCTTTTAGTAGTTTTTGATCAACAACTAGTCTTCCCTGCATCTTAAATAAAGTACTGTGATCGCTTTTGTCTAAAGTGAAGTGTCACGATCGACTTTCCAAACTCAAATGAGACATTTTCGTTGCGGTCGTTCTTTATATTGACTTCAATCGTTTCAAAAGAGTTCACTTTCACAGGAACGTATTGTAAATTTCGAAAACTGGCGTGAACGGTCTTTCCATACTCGCCTTCGATATTTACAATTCTTAAAAGCAGAACTTTAACATTGCCTACAAACTGCGCATCTACAATGTCCGTATAGATATACATTGAAGAAAATCCGGCATTTATATCAGCACAAAAGGGCTTGTCGTTTTCTTTTTGATCACGATGTCTTCGCCAAACCCTAGCGTCGCAGCTATGTCACCAGTCATCCACACCCAAGCCCCGTGTTTAACATCAACGCTTACTTTGCGAGTGTTACGATTATAAGTGAATTTTATTTTTGTTTGACCTTCCTTAGTCAT